CCCCCCCCCCCCCATCAAATGTTTTCCTCAAAATGCAGGAAATAGTGTTTCCGAGGGCCTAGATTTCAACAAATCTCGCCCCATAATGCAAAATGTTGTGCCACCGCCCCTGAATATACATAGAAGATTTATTTCTTCAGCACCAAGGTTCAATTGCCATTGAAATTTATAAATATGCATAAAATACGTGTTTTTTTGTTTAGGTAGTACGTATACTTGTCCACATCCTTGCAAGCTCTATTTAAAACTACGCCACCAACGATTGTTTACAAACACGTTCGGACATCATCGGAAACCGTCGAAGTAATTCGGGTGACCACGTGATTAATTTAACAGCTTCTGCATAGCATTTTCAGTGGCGTGTCTTTACACCTAACAAAGAGTACTTCGTCAAAAGACAGAAAAAATGACAGATGTAAGTATATTTCATACTCGAAGTTGGTATTCTCAAGTCATTACCAAACCATAGTAGTGGCTAGTAGCATTTGCATGCTTTTTTGGGGGGCAAAAATCGGTTTACAGTGTTGTCTGAAAAATGCACGCCGTTTTCATTATTGGCTTTGTTTGCAGGTGGCGTCGATGTCTGTCATTTTGGAGCTGTTTAAAATTGCTTTTTTTTCAACATTATCTGCATATTTTCCACGCAAATAACTTCCGATTGCGAAAAAACAAAAACAAAATTGTTTATAATTGTTGTTACAAGTCGCAGTAGTTTTTTCCTTGTGTTGCAAAGCTGTTCAGTGCTTGTTCATGCGATTCGGAAAAATTGATCAATTTTCTACATTTTGCGTCAGTGGGTGAAAATAATATTTGCGAACGAGCCACACGAAACAGTTTTCTAATTTCTTCTGTATTTTGTGATATAGAATGTTTTCCTGGATGTACATTTCATATAGTGCTTTGTTTTAGGGGTATATCAACATTCGTTTCGTTTTGTTTCGATTCTGAATTATTGATTTTCCTTCAATAACACATGCGTGGCGACATTCGATTGGTTGACGCTGACTACTAGTGTCACTACCAAAAAAAAAAAACGTACAACGAAGAAATATATTATAAATCTGTTGGGTGGTATTTATAAAAAGGAAAACTAGCACGAGTCGGTGCGATAGATTACCATGTTGTGCATTTCCGTTGGCTTTGTTTGGCTTCAAATTACAACCAGTAAAATATGTTGATCTTCTTTGTTTTGCCTGCTTTGTCTTTGACCCAAGCTGAAGATGACGTTTTTGCACAATTGTCTGATAATTTCCATTGTTTCAGCTCTGCCACAATAGACAAAAAATGCGAATCACGTCCAATGACATTATCACATGTTTCTCACTTCCTTTTTCCATATTGCTTCTTTTGTTGTATCTGGGCTTTAAAAACTCACTCTTTGATGATACTTTCAAGTTCAAGCTTGGCTCTTCTAAAGTCCACACTAGTTCATCAGTCTCTGGGGGAAAATGGTAGTGGTTAGCTATCCCTATATTTTAATTTGTATTTAGGAACTGAAATTCTCCTGCTGTCGCTGATTTGTTTGAATTGAGCTGATTTATACTAGCTTAATTTTGCAGTTGTCTCTTACTGGGACTGTATGTTCTAGATTCTAGGAAACTGAAACGAGACAAAAACAACAGATTTTTCAAGTTAGCGTGGGGGAAATAACGTTGCTAAGTATTATCGTCAGGGAAAGCTATTGTTTAAGCTAGTCTGTGATTGTTTGCTGGCAATATTTGGGGAATTTTGACCAGTTTGTGACATAGGCTTGTCTTAGAGAATACCTTAATTGTACATGCAATTGATGCCCTATAAAACAGTTGAATATTCACTCTTAATTTTAAAACCCTTTCCTGCTTGTTACTGCTTTTCTAGGCATGTAATAATTCTGAGTTGAAGATTTAGTTCAAAAAGCCTGTTCTGTGTCGGTTGTGTCAAAATACTAATTCTAAAATTAATTCTCCAGATCTATGGATGAATGTGTGACAATATTAAGTGAATTAACAAAAAATGATTTTTACACCCTATAAAAACATTCAATTCACTTTTTTTTCCTACTGAGTGTTTGCTCCTTGTAGTCGAGCATTGAAAAATACAAAAAAGTAGAATTTTGGGTTTCAAAGCAAAAAAAGGTGTACAGCATCCTTAAGTGAATTACATGTGCAAGTTGTTGAGGGGGCTGTATATATGACATTTACCTGTAGCTATTTAAACAAGAGAAAAATCCTAATTGGGAATTTGTCTACCACTATTTTTACCGGAGAAGTTTATCAGAGGATTTGTCGAAAACATAACTCTGTAATGGTTAAATACGAAATTAAAAATAATTTCCATTTAGAAAAAAAAGGTTGCTTGCTGTTAAATAAATTATAATGTCGTGTCTTCACAGGAATCTATAAACGAACCTGAGCAGTTGCGTAAGCTGTTCATTGGAGGGTTGAATTATGAAACGACAGATGACTCGCTCAAAGGTCATTTCAGTGAGTGGGGTGAAATTGTCGACTGCGTTGTCATGAAAGATCCAAACACAAAAAAATCAAGAGGCTTTGGTTTTATTACATACAAGCGAGCCTCTATGGTCGATGATGCAATGAGGAGCCGACCACACAAAATTGACGGACGAGAGGTTGAACCAAAGAGAGCCGTCGCTAGAGAGGTAAATATTCTCATTCTTGTTCTGGTAATTGTTTTTGAAAAAAGTGGTGGTTGTGTATATTCTGCAGTTATTTTCGTTTTGGTTCCAGTAATAAAATAGATTTTGAAGATATTAGAGCTTTTTAAAGCACAAACGTAATACATAATCAATAGTATTGTATACATGTTTAATCAGAACAGTAAATTACACCACCACCAATGATTTAAATTACTTTTCAGGTTATTTATAATGTTCTCTCTCCAAATACAGAGTCTACCCTCAAATTCTTTCACTCTGAAAGCTTTGAGGGCATGACTGGTATCTGGAAGAAGGGCTGTTCTGTTAAATTCATGTTTTTTGGCAGGATGGCATGAATATGCATTACTTTTGGGAAATTTTATTTATAGCAAGATTCTTCCCAGAGCATTATTGAGCAGGGCTTAATTTTGGATAAACAATAAAGCAAATTTAGCATAACAACAATACAATGCTATTTTTCTGGGAAGAACACTACTTTTCTCAAAGTTAAATTTGGCTGTTATAAAAATCTTTTACCTAAACATGTCTTGCCATCCTGTTTGAACTAGTTATTTCAATATATAAGCAAATCTAACGCATTATCCCAGATCCGATTTGAAATTCCATTCAGTGACTATCACATGACATGACCACCTGACAAGTCATGTGATGTGATCTATAATTTCTATTTGTTGTGTAGAATACCAGCTGGTCTGGGGTTTCCTTAGTGTTACTAGGTATAGAAAGCGACATGAACTACATTATTGGTGCGAAGTCATCGCATCTTAGATAGACTTAGTTTAGCGAACTGCAATTATCGTGATCTTGCAGCTATTTTTAAAAACACAATCTGTATTTGTAATCCATGCTAGCAGTTACATCGTAAAGATGTTAAAAGACCGACGAGTTTTTAGTCTAATTAGTAGTCAGTTTGCCCTTCATACAAAAACCAAAGAAAATAGAGTGATGTAGAAGTTGTGGGTAGTCAAAACTGCTAACAATGCTGAAAACTATGTACCAGAATGCAATTGTCGTGGCAAATTTGCATATCCAAGAGATGAATTTTCTTCCCTTGGAGCATCTTGAATTTATGGCAATGCTAAAAAACGCGCTAGCTTAGTTGCCACAAGTAATAATTAGTGCAAGTGGCTCAGTGTAGTACTTTAACCGCGGATTATCACATCGCTGGCTGCAAATCTCCACAGTGAATGGGAGGGGGGGGATCATCAGACGATGTTACAATATAGTATTTACTGTATACTGTTTTTTCTCTGTACTTTCTGTGCTGTATTACGAGTTCAAAGCGAAAGTTAGCAACAGTCTTGTAGTGCTAGACCTAAAATAAATTTTTAGCGACAAAGCTACGTACGCCTGTTGTGCCCTTGCTAGTACATTGTGCATACATTCTACATCACTCTATCCTAATTTCATATTGGATTCAGGGTCATTAGATCAATCAATATTGTCCTAATAAAAAATACCTGTACTATTGCATGCAAAGTTCGTATTTTTATAATGATAATCAAAAAATCATGTTTCATACTAACCCGGCACTTCGTTACATTTTATTGTTACTTATTTTTATAAATTATGCAAGTTTTTTAAGCAATAATTGTAGTTCATGTGTTGCTATGGAAACCCTAGACTAACTACTACTGGTATTTTACTTTTCATATCGTGAAGAAGAGCGGTAACTCAAGGGCAAGTATAAATGGTGACTTAGACCACCATATTTTATAGTTCAAAATTGTGACATGTTTCAGTCCTATTCAAGTTTTACATTTCAAAATTGTAACTCGTTTCGTCATATTCCCGGTTTTATTACATTTTGACACATTGAAAAATGTGACACATTCAGTTCTATTCTATTACGACTTGTTAAAAAATTACTTGTTTCAGACCAATTCCGTTTTGACAAATTCAAAGTATTGCAAAGATCATGAAAATGTATTGAATGATATACAATTTTTGTGGGAAAAGGGTGCAAAGTGTCATTTTTCTGAAGATATTTTATTTATTTTGCTCAATTTTATTCAATGTTTCGTACAACATTTTTTGTTTGCAAAACCAAGAAAGTCTAACAAATATAACCACAGGGGAACCAGCTTTTTTAACTGGATGTCTAAACTGGCCAAGTCATTTTTCAAACCTTTGTCTGATATGAAATTACCCTAATACCCTAAGTGGTCTATTTAGAGGCGTGTCTGTTGCTATTAATTATTCATGATATGCAATGTCATGAAACCCAGTAGAAGATGCGCACTTTTGTTAGATTTTACGACCATGTGTGTTATAGTTGTGTAGAACAGATCCGCTCGAAAGCTGCTATTCTTATTGGTTGATGAACAGTTCATGTTACCAATTAACATATTCATCATCCTAAAAACGTGATAACTGTAGAGGGTGGAACAGACCGATAATTGTAATTTCATGTCGACGCTGAGTATTCTAAAGACTCGCTCCAGTCTATACTGTTAGTCCAAGAATGTTATGAAAGAATTAACCTTAATACACTTTCATTGAAATTAGATTGTAATTGATTTCTGGTACGGTCAGTTGTAGTACCACCACTTAGCGTTGAATAAAATAGCTTTCTTCTGTCTTGAATAATTCACTTTTCCCTAGAGAAAAGTAACTCTTTCTAAAGAGCGCATCTCCAATAGTAACGCTTGTGAACTATTGTATGCTAGACCATTCTTTTGGCTATAGACACAATTTAGATTTACTCGTGCACTATTGATAGAGCAAATATTGTAGCTGATTGAGACACCTTTTCACTCGCCTTTTGTAGATATTGGTTTTCAGGAGTTAATTCGCGTCACAGCTATGCATTGAGCACCGACTTTTACTGTAGTTGTGGTCATGGCTTATCCCATCTTATTAGTATCTATCCTTCAAACACATTGGTATCCATTCTTCAAACACATTGGTCAAAAGACTAGTTATAAATAGTACAGTACTTTTATTTTTATAAGGATGCATGTTAATCAGCCAATTTATAATGCAGAGGAAGGTTCTTTTAAAATATTTATGGAAAGAGGTTGCAAAAAAGTAGGCAGTCAAATTTCATGTATTTTAAAATGTTGGTTGTCATGTGTTCAATATGGAACCCATTGTGACATATGCAACATGTGTATAACATGAAATTTGACGACAACTAGTGTTTTAAAACCTGTAGGCAACTAAACACGCTGATGAATGTTTAAAAACTAGTTATTACACTACATATGAATCGGCTAATTACTGCCTTCTCTATGGTATTTGCTGTACTAGCTTATCTTGATAGAATAGCACTCGACTCTTGTCTGGTCAATGTCCATGTAAAAGCACATCAAGCTAGCTCATTAATCTGATGATTGAACAAATGTAATAAGGCGGGATGCCATATGCAATTGACATTATCCTTTTTACCACCATTTTTTCATCGTATCAAATTAACAAAATAGTCCTGTTTATTAAGAAGATTAAGACAAAAAAAACACAAATTGACTCCAATTAGGGCTCATTTTTCAGAAATATTGTAAGATACGAGAAAACAATTTGGGCAAGAAAGTCTGGTGGTAAAAATGTTAACTGATGAATTTATTTATTGTACGAGAGATGACTAAAATGACTTGTGTATTATGTGATCACATGTTACTTAAATTGACCAAATACAATAATGATGTCAATCTAACAAAACTAATTGCTTCCATTTTAGGAATCTGGTAATCCTCTCGCGCACATGCTGGTAAAAAAGATATTCGTCGGTGGAATCAAAGAAGATACGAGTGAAGACCATCTTCGAGACTACTTCAGTAAATACGGCTCCATAGAGTCAGTTGATGTTATTTCCGACAAAGACACGGGAAAGAAAAGAGGTTTCGCGTTTGTGACGTTCGATGACCATGACCCAGTTGACAAGATAGTCGGTAGGTCAGCTTTTATAGTGATTTTAACACGACAAAAAAAAAAACATGCCACCAAATATTTTTTCTACTGTTAAAAAAACTTTGGCAGAGTAAAAGCATTTTAATTTCACTATTCACTGATAAGTTAAATTTTGCTGAATTAAAAAACTTAGTACTACTTCTCAATTTGTGCATTTTCTCTTAACAGGTTTGAAGTACCACACGATCAACGACCACAAAAGTGAAGTGAAAAAAGCTGTCCCAAAACAAGAACTACAGAGGTTACAATTCCAAAACAGAGATGGTGGCCGACAAGGAGGTGGTGGTGGTCGAGGGGGTGGTATGCGTGGCGGTGGAGGCGGCAGCGGTGGTGGTAACTACCGTGGTGGCCGAATGTTTGACAGAAATGGTAAGTTGAATGTAGCTTTTTTACGATTTATAAGTTGATTTGATGGCTTTGCATGTGCATATCTTGTTAATCACATCAGTGAAAACCGAAACATTGTTCAGTTGAGGGTCGCAGTCAGGCTTTTAACCATCCAGCTGTAACCTGTACAAAACTTCACCTGACAGGCAAAATTTCGACAGCCATGTTCAGTTTTGATTGAAAATTACCAGTAAATTACAAAATAACCATGAATAATCAAAAAAAAAATTGAAATAGTAAGTCAATGACTGTAGACTAGCAACTGTTTTTTTTGTTTTTATAGTTTTTTAAACGGGCATTTTCTATATTTTGTTTATAACCTTCCTCATGGTGTTGAAAATGTTGTCACTTCACAAGAACCAAGCACAACACACAATTATTCCAAAAATTTGAATTCACTTCATAAATTATTTTTAGCAAAACAGGCTATCGATATGAACAAATGTAAATGGGAGTTATTGGTACTATTTAGTGCAGTTCTCAAAATTAATTTTATTTTGTTCATTTGCAGACTACAACCAAGGCGGTGGTGGCGGCGGCGGAGGCGGTGGTAACTATGGAAACCGTGGTGGCAACTGGGGAAATGATAACTATGGAGGCGGAAACTATGGCGGCGGTAATACTGGTGGTGGATATAATAACTATGGCAACCAAGGTGGTGGAGGCGGCGGCGGTGGTTATGGCAACTACAACCAAGGTGGTGGAGGCGGCGGTTATGGTGGTGGGTCCGGAGGTGGCTACGATAACTACGGTGGCGGCAGCAGCGGAAATTACAACCAAGGTAGTAATACCTCTAGCACTAGCAGTAGTAGTAAGTTGATTACTAGAGCACTGACTCCACACCCTTCCACCATTAACGTTTTCATATAATGTAAAAAGTTGCATATCAAAACAAAAACTTAAAACATGCAAGAGTCGGTGGTTTCTGGTATGGATCACCCTATCAATTCTATTTTTCTATTTTCTCCAATTGAAAGTCATTTCATTTAAAAAAATGTGATAGATTAACCTTTTCTCCACCATTTCCCTATTTTCATCACAAAATAGCCTATAGTCAGCACTTTGCTCCTGAAGACTGACAAAAATAGCCAAATTTTTGGGGTAAAAATTGAAAATTGACGTTTGTCTGCTGGCTCCAAAATTGAAATTTATTTCCAAAAATATTAGATAAGAAAAGTGCAAAAAAATTTAAGCTAGAAATCTGGTGGTAAAAAGGTTAAATGTAGTTACCAAAAGAAGCCAATCAGAATTTATGTTAAATACAGTGGTGGAAGGGTCAGAAGGCAAAGTTCATTACATCTAAAAGGGAAAAAAAGTCTGTGCAGTTGAGATATGTTTTGAATTTCTGATTTCTGAATTGATGGTGTTACATATTCATACTTGAAGTCAATAACATTTCAAGCACGCAGTTGCTGTGCGAATCGACGTTTCCTTCTAGCAGCTTGAACAAACTCCCTGAAATAAAGTGCTATCCCATTCTGCACTTAAAACGCTCTGCTCTGACTTTTAAAAACTATCAGTATTTCAATTATGGTGCTGTCTATTTCCAGGGTTGTTCTTTTGACCTTTTAGAATTGTTGTCCCATCCCTCCCATTGCTACGTAGGTTGTACATGCGCAAGAAGAATTAACATCGCATCTCTCATGAATCTGGAATTTAAAATTTCTCTGAAGTTGTTCACTTTAATAACTATTTACATTGTTTTTTAGGCTACGGAGGAGGGGGAAATGCTGGTAATGGCGGTGGATACAACGACTTCGGGAATAACTACGGTGGCGGACAGTCGAACTATGGCCCACAAAAAGGAGGCAACTATGGTGGTGGAAGGCAAAGTGGCGGCCCATATGGAGGCAAGTGATAACAAACTAACAACACTGCTGTGTTCTCGCCTAATTTATACAATGATAAAATCAGAGACTGTAAAATAAAATGAATAATAAATAATAAAACAAATGTCTCTAATTTAGGTGGTTACGGTGGTGGTAACCAGAGCAGCGGCGGTGGTGGTGGTGGTAGTGGTAGCGGTGGCGGCGGCAACTACGGTGGCGGCAACAGGAGATATTAAATACCCTACGATATCAAAAGGTAAGCTTTGAGACTTGGCATGACATAGTCCTGGAGATGTAGTAAAACCAAAAAAAGTTAGTTGCCATAGATCAGATCAACACGGTTCCCAAAATGGCGAATGCCATAAAAGCTTTATGGCTCGAAAATGACATGTTTTGTCAGGATTTTAATTTTTTTAACAGAAAATGCATAAAGACCTTAAATTTACTGGATTCCCTCTAGTTCTGGATAATTGTTTGTGGAGGATTTGAAACGAAACAGAATCCCATTTTTTTACAATTTTTTCTTCAGAGGAAGATTTATTTGGTTTAATTTTGGCTGATTAGATTTTGCAGAGATATTTACTAGATTTTTTAACACAACAGCTACTGAGACAATTTCTCCTATTCATTATTCATTTCAACTGTCAAAATTGGAAAGCATTCATTTCGTAGGCAATTTTAATTTTACTAGTTTGTGAAGAAAACAATACTGCATTCTAATGTTAAATTTCAAGGATTCCCTAGTATTGAAGTTATATGTGAAATGAACAAATAAAAAACAAGGCAGGGGGTAATTAAGCAGTCTTCAATTAATGAATGCCGTTAGTGCTACTTCAAATCAAGTCATAAATTTATTACAGCAGACTTGTTAAATCAAAGAATCCAATATTTGTCAGATCTAATCTTTAATTTCTACTTAATTATCTATTACTGCCTTTTCAAATGTTAATGTTAGTTACTTTTTTTTTTATTAGTCTGTCCGTGACTGTTGGTAACCATTGATTTCTCTTATTATGCACGCATTATAGGACAGTCGATAGAAAGGGTCTTACATAGTGAGACAGATTTGCAGAGGATACCCCTATTATAGTCAGTATTGCCATAAACAGGAACCAGTCCACAGATTTGAAGAACGCCCATTATTGCTGAACACAGAAATGTTGAACTATGACCCGATGAGACACTTAGCCAAGATGGCTAGCAGTAGATTTCTCAGTGACATCGTCGGGCGAAGGCATTAGCTGCATTATTTGTATAAAAATGTTTATTCAAGGGGAAATTATGATATAAATTTTCATTTGGGGTTTGGGCGGTTTACTGTCCAACTACACAGAAAAACATTTCTTCTGGTAGATGTTGTATTTATCGAAAGTATCGTTTTACTTGTATAATCATGCTTAGCTTAGTTTTTATACTCTGTGGATTTGTAGGTTTCATATTAGTTTATTAGGAATAAATGCGAATGCCGAAGTCAGTTAGGGGTCAGGTGTCTTTTTAGCTTTAATAAGCCAGCAATTAATTACGCCTTTATGATTCACATGTCTTTATATTTCAAAGAATATCTATTAAAAACCAGAATTTTTATCATAAATTGTTTCGTTGCGCGTTGTGCTAGCTTATTATTGTCGTCGCACAATTAACGTTTGGTCCTATTGTGTGTAATAAGTATGAGAAGCATGCAGTTTGTTAGGTATAGCCCTCTCCTGTATGTATTTAATAGTAGCTCTTGTAAATGAAACTCCTCTGCATTTATACATGGCTCTCCTGTGCAGGAAATTTGCTTGGTGCATCGCACAGGTGCATCATGAGTTTCCTATGCTGGATGATTCATTTTGATGTGGAGCATTACAAGGTTACTTTGCACAGATGCATTGTGGGATTCCCAGGCTGATGATACATTTCGTTCTACAGCATTGCGAGATTACCTTGACCAGATGCATTGTGGGATTCCTATGCTGATTCCTTGTGTCCCTAGAGCCTTGCGGGATACCTTGTACAGCTGCATAATGGTGATTCTTGTACTAAAATTTTCATTATTTCTGGGCCCTGATAATTTACTGCTTGGAAAAAATGTTATTACCTAGAAACCAGTGTTTATCCCTGAAAGCTTTCAGATTATTTTTTGAACAAATAAATTAAAACATTGCTTTACTATCAGGAGTCAAAATACTCTGGTGCACACTGCACTATGCGCACAGATTATTAGCTAGTGCAAGTAAACTCAAAATATAATGTGCACGCTGTGCATGTAGAAATTAACACATTTTCTCATTATATTCACTGAGTCTAAATTAAGTTCAACCAATATTGTAAGATGACTCAAAAAATACAAATTCTTTCATGATCGAGAATCTGTAAATTTTATTAAAACTTTAAAATTGGTGGCCATGCATTTCACAACAAGTTAGTGCAGGTAAATTTCAAATTCAACGTGCACACTGTGCATGCAGGGGAAAAATTCTATTTCAATCTCTGACTATACAAATTAGATTTGGCAGTTTCCTCGAAAAACTGCTTGGAGCTTTGTCGGTCAAAATATATCTCCATTGCAATAACCCCTAAAATATTGGTGCAGTATTTGTAGAATCTTAGACACTCCTTTTTTCTGGGATCCTAGTTAGAAAACTATTTTAAGGTAGAGATGCAGGTTCGTGGGCACTTTGGAGTGACAATTTTTTGTTTTGCTTTTTATTATCTAAAAAGTCTTAGCTATAGACTGTTGAAATTTTGTGGAATTGTGAATAATGGAACATACTCAAAAAACGATTTTAAAATATAGATAATAAGTGCAAAATTACCTCTTTTGAATGCTTAGCAAGATTTAGCAAGGCTGTATAATAAAATAATAAAAAAAACATGGTGAAAAAAAGAAATGACGGGATCTCCATATTACGCACTGTATTTTACTTTTTACAAAACGGTAATACATTTAACTTTGAAACTGTAACAACCATTTTAATTATGAGCATTAGGAAACTTCTTACTGAGTGAATTGTTATGCAAATTAGTAATTATCTCGGCTTCTTTTTAGTGCACATTCCAGAACTTTGAAAAAAAATAGCTCCTAGACTCTTTAACCTTTTGTTTTGAAATTTTCACAAATGATTGACAATGTGTTTATCTTCAAAACGCTGGGAGCATTGTTTCTTGTTGAATAGTGTTACAACAATCATTCAGACAACTAGCCTGGGTGTTAATTTATGCATAAACTTGAAGTAGTGAAATTTGAGCTGCTGCCCTACAAAATTGACAACTGGTAGACAGTTTTCCAGACGGCGTTTTCTTCATAGTAAACAGATGTACTCATAAACCAATTTTGACGGGAAACAGAAGCATGCTTTAGAAGCTAATTTTTTTAAAATCACTTTTGACCAAAAAAGCACATTTCAAACTACAGTATCCATAAAAATAAAATAACAAAACTTTAAAATTCATACAATAAGCTTTCCGAAAATAGAGTTTTGTGGACAAGGGAGGTCATCTCGGTTTCCTAATTAACTAATTAAAATACCTGTCAGGTAAACTGCATCTCTACCTTAAAATGTAATTTATGGATCAACAAGAGATTAAAAAATGCACGATTCAAGCTTTGTGTATAAACTATAAGGGGATAAAAGGTACCAGTAACAGGAAATTTCTTGTGAGCGAACAGGGTTAGAATTATCAATTCTAATTATATCCTAATTGTTTTAATGATCGTTAAAAACATAGGTCAATAAAATGGTCAATATGCAAAATATCATGCATTTTAGATAGGGGTCATTTTGATTTGCCAGTTTTGCATCCTTATCTAAGGCCCATGATTAAAGTAGCGAGCGTTTGATGATGGAGGATATTTTGTACCAGTTCGTCAAGTTGAAAAGTTTTGATGTAAAATGCCCATAACTACTTGTGATGAACAGTTTTGGATAAAGTTGTGGTCTGATATCGTAATAGTGCTAGTTACCTTACAATGAAGGGCGTTAATTTAATCGTATATACCTATTACTGGAGAGGCAGTGGAGGGCGTTAATTTAATCGTATATACCTATTACTGGAGAGGCAGTGGGAGGGCGTTATTAGCCAATAGTTCAGCTACTTGCAGTGAAGAGATCGTTATATAGTTGATACAAGACAAGTTGTGAACAGTATTGATGCATTATAGTCCTAGCTCTTTGCAGTGAAGAGAATTTATAGTCAATACTGGATGAAGTGATGGACTTGTAGCATATTATATAGTGCTAGCTAATAGCACTGAAGAGCTTTAATTTAGTTATATACCTGTATATATACCTGTGTATATATACCTATTACTGAAGAAGTGGAGGGCATTTTAGCCAATATAGTCCTAGCTACTTGCAGTGAAGATCATTATAGTTGAGACTGGACAAGTCGTGAGCTTTAGCATGTATATAGTGCTAGCTACATCCACCAAGCAGCAAAGTTAGTCGTATAGACGTACCGGAAGTAAAAGGCGTTAGACAAATGATCCTAACTACGTTACTCTGCAAAGAAAGTTAGTCAAACCCAGAGGATTTGTGAACAGTATTAACGTATATAGTCCTAGCTACTGGCACTGAAGAGCAATTAGTCGTGTAGACTTATTACTGGAGGAGATGGAGGGCATTATTAGCCAATATAGTCCTAGCTACTGCACTGGATGGAGGGCATTATCAGTATAGCTACCAAGAAAGCCTGGACGGTTAACATGGTAGACAACAAGCTGCGAGGACGTCTAGACATAAACAAAACACTCATGTAGACAGAATAGCGGCAGCAGCAGTGTAGACTATAGACTTGTGGTATATACTATAGCAGGTAGACGAGAGTAGACCAATGGTATGCCACAAGATAGACAGCATAGACAATATACCATGCGATGCAATAGACCAGCTATTGTGTGTAGTATTACACAGGTATAGTGCAACGATAGTGAGTATGAATTAACTTAGTCTTTATTTTGTTGTATTTGTAAGGTTACTTTATCATCAGTTTAAATTAGAACAGAGGAACTCGTGAGAATTAGCAGTAAGGGGAGTTTTAAGCATGCAGGAAAAACATGTTTTGTTTTTGCCATGTGTTATTTGTTATTTTTTCTTTTGTAGATGTGGGTATTCTGCATATTTATTAGTTCTGATCTTAACGCAAGATGACTGATGTCATTCCAATGTTGCTTCAGTCCAGTTTTTGGAGGTAAGTTATAGTTTCTGCAAGGGAACAATGTTAAGTACTTTAAAACATGTCTTTTTTGTGAGCATGTCTCTTTAGCGAATTTAGTGAGAGAACTAATTCGCTAATTTAAGATGTCGCTAATGACTTCATTATAAATTCAAAATGGTGGCCATACAAAATCTTTTTTTCCACACACACTTTGTAAACACAGAAAACAATAATCTGGAGCGCTTCCTTATTACACTTGACAGTTTTTCTTTGTTTTTATGGAGGTGATAACTGCGCATTAGTTTTAGCAGGCGACAGACAAGTATTGTGAAAACAGGAAATCAACAAAGACAAGAGATTCACTAAATCAACATTTCTCTATTACGTCATTTAACCACAATTCGCTAAAATAGTTTGTCACTTTTTCAACATGTTTTACAGTATTTTATTTTTTGATTGCATTATTTATTCTTTTGAATTCAATTTTGTTAGAAATCTGCTATAATTAAATACATGTTTGCAAATGGAAACTTGGTGTACTGTAAAATACTTTATTTTCACTTGGAATTGATTTTTGCTGAAGGAATGATTCAGTAGAAATAAAATCCAGCGTATATACCTTTTTGCCTATATTTTACATTCAAACTCAAAAATCACGCAAAAAGTCTATTCAGTGAAAATGAATTCCGGCTAAAATAAAGTACTGTGGAATACTTTATTTTCGCTGGAATTAATTTTCGCTGAAAAGGCTTTTCGGGCATTTTGTCTGGAATTTATTTTCACTGATTTTTGATGAGTTTAATGTAAAATATAGGAAAAAAAGTATATTGGGCTAATCTGCACTGGCTCGGAAGGTTGTAAATGATTAGCTAGTTTGAATTTGCATAACAATACTGACAATGAACGTGCATTCAACGCCACAAGTTTTTTTGTTTTTTTTAGCCAATCAGAATTCATCTTCCGAGCCAGTGCAGATCAGCAGAGTATATTTGCTGAATTTTATTTTCACGGAATCATCCCTTCAGCGAAAATAAATTCCAAGCGAAAATAAAGTATTCTACAGTATTCAATTTTATTGACTCTTCTGAAATATTTTGCTCTAACTTGCATCTTAATTTGTATTTTTCAGAATCTACAAAATGTCATGACGACGAGTGTTTTACGTAAGCTGAAGATTTCTATTTTTGTAACCATGGAGATTCCCATCCCAGTGCGTAAGAAACTGACACAAGCACTGCCAACTTTTATCTGCTTGAATTTAATAAAATATATTTCCCTATGTTTGTGTTTGTATTATGAATGTTTGGGTGAATAAGAGTTGTCAAGAGACATGAAAAGATAATACGTTGTATGTAAATTGAATTTTTTTTTTTTGTATTATTCCCTGTACAGCTCTTACTGTAAATGCATTTATTGTTTACTGGTATTTCATTCCACTAATTCTAATTTAAATCCTCTAAATCAAAACCACCAAACACGTAAAGCAACCAGGAAAACTAGTCGTTTCCTCGATCTTTTCTTGAAATTAAAACAGTGAATATGCTCAATAGATTGAAATTAAATGTCAGTGAAAAAAAATTCTTTTACAGTAGGATTGTAATATGGAAATTATCAGGACAATTTTCTCCACGATGTTGAAGTTGTTACTGGTACCCACCGTAGAAACTCTTAAATTCAACCACCTAATTACTTGGCTGATTTTAGTAATTTTGTTGACCTCCAAAATTTTGACCTTGTCGGAGTTTGCTTCCTTATTTTTACTTCCAAAATTTAAGTCATGTATGTGGATTTCTATTTTGACGCTGGAAAGTGTGTATAATTTTGTTTGTCATTGCGGTGCAACTTGTATATATATTGAATTTTTACATTTTGTATTAAAAAAACCAGACTGTTCCCCCCCTCCCACCAAAAAAACACTTGGAGGCGGCCGGAATTTTGGAGTTTTTGTGGTGTATTCGACGCTGGACTGGAATTTCTACTTTTTTGCCTTCAACCATGCATCAATAAACTTGCAACATCAAGAAAGACGCGTTTCCATCAGTGAAGTTCAAAAACTATAAACAGATGACAGGTGTTGATTCAATTAAGTGTTGTGAAAAGTAGCCTGGTTACCTTCCTCTTATGAGTCTTTCAACTCCCCCTCCACGAAGTCTAAATTTTATTTACTGTGGAATACTTTATTTTCGCTTGTAATTTATTTTTGCTGAATAATAATTCCGTGAAAATAAAATCCAGCGAATATACGTTTTTCCTATATTTCACGTTATACTCATCAAAAATCAGTGAAAACAAATAACATACAAAATGCCTTTTCAGCGAAAATATAGTATTCCACAGTATTCCAACATCACTAAGAATTGGGTGTTTGAGCTGTGCAACTGTTGGCTAATGGAGCAAGTGCAAGGAACACAACTGTCGTCCTTTGATTAAAAAATTAGCATACTGTAGTATACTTTATTTTCGCTCGGAATTTATTTTCGCTGAAAGAATGATTCCGTGAAAATAAAATTCAGCGAATATACTTTTTTCCTATATTTCAAAAATCAGTGAAAATAAAATCCATACAAAACAACCAAAAAGCCTTTTCAGCGAAAATAAAGTATTTCACAGTATTCAGATTGTTATGACACTATATTTACCAGCCAATCCTAATCAGTCATCTACCGACTGTAATTGGGATCTAGATATGTGCAGACCATCATGGAGATGGAAGATGAATGAAAACCCACAAAATGAAAGGAAGGTAACAGACTACTTTCCGCAATACTGTACCCAGGCTATTGAGAACCCTCCCCGACTTTAGCGATTTGAGTGACTGGATTACTATTGATTGAAAAATAATATTCAGGGTTTCTCTGGCGTCTGATAATCATGTGTAAAGCCCTTGTATATGAAGTAAATAAAGGTCACACATCCTGGCACTTGAGGAAGCCCCTTAAGGTCGCACATCCTGGCACTTGAGGAAGCCCCTTAAGGTCGCACATCCTGGCACTTGAAGCCCCTTAAGGTTGCACATCTTGGCACTTGAGGAAGCCCCTTAAGGTCGCACATCCTAGCATTTGAGGAAGCCCCTTAAGGTTACACATCTTGGCACTTGAGGAAGCCCCTTAAGGTTACACATCTTGGCACTTGAGGAAGCCCCTTAAGGTCGCACATCCTGGCACTTGAGGAAGCCCCTTAAGGTCGCACATCCTGGCATTTGAGGAAGCCCCTTAAGGTCACACATCCTGGCACTTGAGGAAGCCCCTTAAGGTCGCACATCTTGGCACTTGAGGAAGCCCCTTAAGGTCGCACATCTTGGCACTTGAGGAAGCCTCTTAAGGTCGCACATCTTGGCACTTGAGGAAGCCCCTTAAGGTCGCACATTCTGGCACTTGAGGAAGCCCCTAAAGGTTGCACATCCTGGCACTTGAGGAAGCCCCTTAAGGTCGCACATCCTGGCATTTGAGGAAGCCCCTTAAGGTGGCACATCCTGGCACTTGAGGAAGCCCCTTAAGGTCGCACATCCTGGCACTTGAGGAAGCCCCTTAAGGTCGCACATCTTGGCACTTGAGGAAGCCCCTAAAGGTCGCACATTCTGGCACTTGAGGAAGCCCCTAAAGGTCGCACATCCTGGCACTTGTGTACATTGTTATATCTGTACTGTTTATTAATTGCCAATACTATCATCCTCGACAGGCAGGTTTGATACAACATTCCACGGCCCTTCAAGTTTCTGAATAATACAAAAAATAGAAATCCATGCTTGCAAGGCAGATACAAAGTAATGTTGAGGGCGGTATATAAAAATTGGATTCTGTGAATGGATGTGCTGCAAAGATTACCCAGAATGCACTTGTCATTCAGATACGAACCTCCAAACTGTTGTACAAAGAATATTCACTGAAATTCTCCTATTTTTAGACTAAATCATTTTAAATATACTGTATTCTCCCGACTTTTTCAGTCTAGCAACCTCAATCAGGGAAAACAGTCAAAAACTTGTGCTTTGGACTAGTTGTTGAGACTCCTGAACAGTGCAAACGCCTCAGAATAGACAAGTCTTGGAAATAACGCATCAGACCAAGATTTATGGAAGAATTATAAAATTTCCACGGCCACTGCTACACCAGTCTAACTGAAATCATTGAAATTTCACTTATTTTTACCATGGAAACATCAAAGTATTTTATGCAAGCCCATATGCTACTGAAGAAACAAATACTAGCACAGTATGCTTATAAAACATATCGCTTCGTAAGACATTGGTGGTACACTCACAAATAACAGAATGTATTCTATTCTCATTTACAAAAACAATGAAAGAGTCACTACATCAAACGGGTCGACCTCTACCCTGGGTGACTCAATTGGAAGGCCAATTCCACTGGCCGAGATTCATTCACTAATGAATACGACTTTGGGGGAACCTTGGTTAAGGTCTGCAGGTGCTTGTGTTCGACCGAGCCTGGTTGACGCCAGGATAGCGCATTAAAATTGCCTTTTGATAGACAGCTGGCCACACAGCCCTGTCATGTAGTCCCAAACAAGAATATGACTTCTGTGGAAAAATGTGTCAGCACTAGCACTTGCAACATAGATTTTGTGTTTTACTTTGCAAGTTGCTCAAAACTTTGAACATTATAGCACGCAGTCTTAGGTATACTGATTTTCTATGGATATCCCCAGCCACAACTTTCCATCAAACTTCAAATTCAATTCACAATAGCAATGAATAAATTTGGTGCTTAAAGGCCCTGGCAAATCTTCTATTTACCGTATGTATCACACTAGAACAAAACCCGTCCATGAATGCAGATCCTTAACAAATTTTGCATTTCGATTTCCACAGCTAAACCACTATAGTGACCATCCAAGGTACACCCAAACCTGTGTATAGTGACCACCCAAGGTACACCCAAACCTGTGTATAGTGACCACCCAAGGTACACCCAAGCCTGTGTATAGTGACCACCCAAGGTACACCCAAACCTGTGTATAGTGACCACCCAAGGTACACCCAAACCTGTGTATAGTGACTACCCAAGATACAGTCAAACCTGTGTATAATGACCACCCAAGGTACACCCAAACCTGTGTATAGTAACCACCCAAGGTACACCCAAACCTGTGTATAGTGACCAACCAAGGTACACCCAAACCTGTGTATAGTGACCACCCAAGATACACCCAAACCTGTGTATAGTGACTACCCAAGATACATTCAAACCTGTGTATAGTGACAACCCACGGTACACGCAAGCCTGTGTATAGTGACAACCCAAGGTACACCCAAGCCTGTGTATAGTGACCACCCAATATACACCCAAACCTGTGTATAGTGACCACCCAAGGTACACCCAAACCTGTGTATAGTGACCACCCAAGGTACACCCAAACCTGTGTATAGTGACCACCCAAGGTACACACAAACCTGTGTATAGTGACCACCCAAGATACACACAAACCTGTGTATAGTGACTACCAAAGATAGTCAAACATGTGTATAGCGACAACCCACAGTACACCCAAGCCTGTGTATAGTGACTACCCAAGATAGTCAAACCTGTGTATAGTGACCACCCAAGGTACACACAAACCTGTGTATAGTGACCACCCAAACCTGTGTATAGTGACCACCCAAGGTACACACAAACCTGTGTATAGTGACTACCCAAGATAGTCAAACCTGTGTATAGTGACAACCCACGGTACACCCAAGCCTGTGTATAGTGACAACCCAAGGTACACCCAAGCCTGTGTATAGTGACCACCCAAGATACACCCAAACCTGTGTATAGTGACCACCCAAGGTACACCCAAACCTGTGTATAGTGACCACCCAAGGTACACCCAAACCTGTGTATAGTGACCACCCAAACTTGTGTATAGTGAAGGAACCACCCAAGGAACTTCATTAAAATGGTCTTTATATGGAGATTTGATTATTTTGTTATGGATTGCCAACTCATACTTTTGACATACTTGTCCAGAAAATAAGATAAGACTGTTGCAAAAAAAAACAATAGAGTCAGATAAGTTTAAAAATTTAATACTTTAACAGAATTGACACAATTTTTTCTCTTGTTAAATTAAAACGATTTACAGCAGAGTAAAATTAGACTGGGTTGTCTGGTTGACTTGGTAACTTAAATCCCATCAGATCAGCAGCTGACTGAACACTTAGCTCACTTCCCTTGTATTCAGCATGCAATTCCTGAAAAATTTAACAAAAAAACAAAACAAAAATTAAGTCCTTGCATCCACCATCATCTTTGCTAACCAAAGTCTGTTTATTCGATCGTCGCAATGCCATTAAAGTTTCAAAGATCCTGTTCAACAACAATGTTTTGAAGTGTGTTCGACGAGGGTGATTTATAAGAATGAGGGTCCCAATAACTTGTTAGCTCCACTGTCGACTTTGTCGAGCAGAGCTTATCATATGAGTGATCGTCCGTCGTTAATAACTTTTTTTGATTGTAATCCCATCTCAAGGTCACCTTAATACCCTCGTATTGAATAATAATCACCGGTCAATTGTTGTTTTGATATATACTGTAAAATACTTTATTTTCGCTGGAATTAATTTTTGCTGAAAAAACTTTATGGATGTTTTGTATGGAATTCATTTTCACTGATTTTTCACGAGTTGAATGTGAAATATAGGAAAAAAGGTATCTTCACTGGATTTTATTTTCACTGAATCATCCATTCAGCGAAAATTAGTTCCAAGCGAAAATAAAGTATTTTACAGTATTTAATATGTAGAACACCTGGGATGCTTGATTTGTTTCTTAGCCGATTTTTGAAGACTTCCTTAAATGTTGTTTATAACAGGGGATTTTGAAAATGTTTCTACTGTATTTGTCCTATGAGTAGTGCATGCACTTATGTAAATTACAAAGGTGTTTCCATGGTCACAAATAGGTAATATTTCAATGATTTATTTTTCAGCAAATACAATTTTTGGGTTTATATGCATTTCTAGAGCAAATACTATATTTTAATTTTTCTGGATTCATACCTATTAAACAAAATACAGCCATTCAAACTTTTGCTTTATTGTTCGAACAAACCATTAGCTTGACTGGTAAGAACTAATAAGAGTAGGTATTTGGTCCACAATATCCGTCTCTGAACAGAAACTAAAAAAAATCTTTTTTCCTGGTGACAAAATTTTGACTTTGGCCTTCAAAGGATAAACCAATTTGCTGTCACCAAAAGACATTAACTGCCATGTTTACTGAATGTGATATAGAGGGCGCAACACGTTTCAACGTTCAACGTTTCACAAGGCATAACTATCCTCGGGGGCGGACATCCGCAATTTTCTAGACTTAATTTGTTTTGTTTACTTGAGTAAAATTTTTTTTCTTTAGGACCGAAAAGACACATTAAAATTTTCCAATTGTGTATGTTTGTAATGTTGTCATACCAACAAAAGTACCAGGATGTGTGACCTTTAGGGGTCACATGAGAGTAGCCAATTCCCCCTATTTGATCAGATTCAATGGTTTTAAATTCAGTTTTTTTTATTAAAAACATAGGATTTATGGTAATTTTACACGAAGAATTTAGTGAATTTCACTTTTCAGTGAAAAAAACAAAATTAAATCTCTTTAGATCATTGATGCATTACAAAAGTACCAGGATGTGTGACCTATAGGGGTCATGAAAGAGGTCTACTGTAAAATACTTTATTTTAGCTGGAATTAATTTCCACTTTAAACATTTTTTGGGTGTTTGTATGGAATTTATTTTCACTGATTTTTCACGAGTTGAATGTGAAATATAGGAAAAAAGGTATAATCGCTGGATTTTATTTTCACTGATTTTTTCCTTCAGCGAAAATTAATTACAAGCGAAAATAAAGTATTTCACAGTATTTTCATATTTTATCATACTTAATAATAAGTTCAAATTTGCAAATTTCTAGTAAAAACCACAAGATTTACGTTAATTCTTCATGTTAACATGAATTTAGTAGATTTCACCATTCAGTGAAAAACAAAATTAAAAATTAATGCATTTACAGTACCTGATACCTTCTTGCGTTATGGAGTAATGATAGATATGTATTTGCTTTGTGTTTGAGTTCATTTTCTCCTTTACACGTCCTCTCACTGGTCACGTTATGTCTACGATATTCATTGATGATATAGTTGTATGCTAAACTTTTCTGTACTGGTTTCTGTAAGACAATTTGCCCATTCATAAGTCATCTGTGTGAACATCAATGATAAATTGATTTCATAGAGAGGGAAGACTATACTCGAGGGAGGACATCCGGGCATTTTCACCGCCTGACAATCATCACGGTGAAAACAAAGGCCGAAAACTCTCAGAAAACGGTACTTCGGGATGGTTGTTGAGACTCCCCTGAACAGTGTAACAAGATTAGCCCTGCGTGTGCAGCAAATATAAATTTGGTTGTTCAGGATTACTTCAAACTTTCAAAGTTGAGTTTGTGTTTGTGTTGAATTTAGCTATTTTCATTGGCTCTTCGACCGGCATTCTACAACAGCACGCACAGAGCCCATAGAAATACATACTACAGTGGTGCGCGTCTTAGCAACGTGGAACGTCTTGTGACGTAGCTCCGCCCCTGAGAATATGTAGCATTCATTGAAACATTCTGTGTCCAGGTATTTTGTATGAAATATATTTTCATTGATTTATGATGAGTTGAATGTAAAAAATATAAAAAAAGGTATATTCCATTGATTTTATTTTCATTGAATTATCACTTCAGTGAAAATAAAGTGAATATTGGATAAACTCAATCACTTGTCTGCAAATCTTTGTGTGTAAGTAGAGGTATGTAAGGGTGCATAAATACGTCAGTTGCGAGTGGTGAGTTGCGAGTCGCAAGTAGCAAAATGTGTCAGTTGCGAGCGCTCGAAAGTGGCAGTTGCTAGCGCTCGAAAATGGCAGTTGCTAGCGCTAAAAATAGCAGTTGCTAGTGGCGATTTGTATGTAGTTGCGAGTGCTAGCTACATCGGCATTGTGTGAAATAAAATTAAGTCCGATGTCCTAGCCACTTGTTTTCAAGTTACATGTACATGTGTTGAAATGAATTTCTGCATGTCTACGATGCTATTTGTGCGTGTGTGGTACGTACACTAAACTACCGTCCCTCCTGTGTTGAGGGACGGTGACTAAACGTAGCAGCTGCGAGCGAGTCGGGCCGCTAGAACTGTGTGAATAATAAAAA